CCACCCACTTCTACCTCACCGTTCTGGAGTTCCTCCTCCCCATGCTGGCCGTGGTGGGGTTCACCGTCCGCGTCGGCCCTGGCGATAGCTCAGAGCGTGGCCACGCTCACCCTGAGCAGCACCGTGACCTCCGCAGCCAACCTGGAGCGGTCGGCGTAGAGAGACGGAGCTTTCCTCGCCAGAACCTGGGGAGGAAGGAAAACCCATCCAGACTCAAAGAGGGAGACCAAGAGGACGTCATAATCACCGTGGTTACACGTTTTTAGGCTCATTCGCCGCTAAATGTTGCTTATTCTAGTATCAGCCATTATTTTAAATAAACACCAAAGTTCCCCAGACGTTCACCACATTAAAACAGTACAAACAGAGCATTTTCATGTGTTTAGAGAGCGTCTACTTAGATCAAAAATCACTTTTAAAACGACGTGGGTTATCTTTAAACATCTTACCTGAGGCTGGAGCAGGAGAAGAAATGTTGAACCCATCTGCGTTTAACTGGCACAAACCCATAAAATAATCCATTTTTGTCAAATCAGTAAAAAAAAAAAAAACACATGGTAACAATCATGAATATATGCCAAATTAAAATTGATGTAAAAACACAAAAAGCATACATTTATGGAAATAAAGTAATAATAACAAATAGTTAATGTTGCTTTTGTTTTCATTTTATTTCACTGCTATCAGAAAAGCTTTTATTGTTTTCAGTTGCTAAACGTTTACTATAATGTGCACTGATCAGCTTTTACTTTGAATTTATTGTGTTGCTTTTTATGAAACGTGCAACAAATAGTAAATAATAAGAATTTCATTTATTTTAATTGGTTAGGCCATTCTGCATTAATTTTAATCAACTAGTGAATGTACAGACAAGGCTGATTTCCATTGTTTTTTTCCTTATCAGATGATACAGGATGAATTACCTAAAAGTAATTAATAATAATAGTAATAATAATAATAGTAATAATAATCTGCCCAGGTTACCTCACCTCTCACCCAGTGATTGCTGAAGCCTGGCACCCATTAGTATCAATACTGGACATATTAACAACAACAGTTTTATACTATGAACAAAGTGTTGACAGTTTAACTTAAACATTTATGTTTAAATTGATTTCCATTTGTTTTCTTGGTCATATTTTAATTAATTCCATTTTCTACACTGTTTTATTACTTAAAAAAAAATTATTAATATATATGTGTCAGGGCTGTAAATCTTTATGTCTCTTTCTCACACACACACACTGACACAGTTAGCATCAGCAGGAGCTACGATCACATGAAGAATCTGGGTCAAACATCCAAAACATGAGCTTCAGGTTCCCTCTCTGGTTTCTCTGCATGGAAGAAGCAGAGTGGACTGCCCACTGTGCTCGGGTTCTCAATCCGCAAAACAAAGTTTGTCTCACTTTTTGTTTTCTTTCTTGAAATTATCACATTATCTCTTCTGAGATAGTTTTTTTTTTGTCCAGAAAGGGATGGAAATTGAAAGCGCAAGTCCTCGTGATGCAGACCAGCAGGTTTCTGAATCAGTAACTCGTCCAACAATTTGTTCAGTTCCTCTTCAATCCATAATTCTGAATTTGTGGAACATCAGATGTAATGATTTTGTCCTTTACGCTTTAAATAATCATCAAAACATGAATTCTCTTAAAGTGGAGTAGATCCAGAATACATTTATTCAATGTGGACATTTATTTATTGGTGGCCTCATCGCCTGCTTTCACCCATATTTGGTTGTCGTTTCACAGGACACACGATGGAAGCAGTGAAAATGAAGTAAATGATTTTTATTACCATTTTATTAAAGCTTCAGAAACCAAAGTAAGAACGTAGATCTTTGTATGCGTGAACTGGTGCGAAGGCTTTGCGGGATTGAAGCGAGACAGTCTGCGTCTGCTGTGGATCTCTGCATGTGATCGTTTTAGTTTTTGTTTTCACAGTTTGCGGACAGAAGCTGGACCAAAACTGGGAAGTAGGTGGAAACTTTTGGCGATCTGTGAAGTTTATAGATAAAAATCTGCTTATATGTCCCAATTTTTAGCTTCATGTGACATCAGTGTTGTTATTCCTTTCCACTTCTCTGTCTTTGCTGTTTTTGGCATTTGTTCAGTTCCTTATTACAGGATAAGGCCTTATCGTGTTTTTAGGACAACAATGATCTAATTTACCTTTTATTAAAAATGTGCAAGCAAATTTTGACCCGTTGTTGTTTCCATTGAGGTTCAATATGTCATACTGTAATTCTTGTGCATTCGTAGTGTATATATAAACTCACTTTGTCATGTTGGCTTTTAATTTAAGTTCCTTTGAGTCTCCTCAGGTCTTTTATACCGAGTTATCTGCATGTAAGCTGTTTTTATTTAGAATTTCCTTCCGTTTTATTAATTATCTTATTTTATTTCTTTATTTCTAACTGGTAAACGTTCTTATTTTTAAAATGTAATATATAAATAAGTTAAATATGCTGTTAGAGGGGACCTTTTCATCATTATATTTGTGAATCCAAGCAGTCGTCATTGGAGAAAAAGTCTTTTGTCCTTTTGAATAAAACGTGAAAAGGACGAGAGAGAAGTCATTGATTGTTTACTTCTTAGTTGATTGTAAAGGTGTTTTCCATACAGTGTCCATTCAGAGTCCTACTTTATGGAGGCTCAAGCATATTTACACAGAGAGAAATATACAGGCTTTATATAGAAAACAGAAATACTAACAAAAATAATCATCTTTTTTTTATAGCAGCAAAAAAGAAGAAACTAAAAAGAGACATATATTTACATCTTTTCAGTGAACAAGGCATAATATATGTATATATTTATTAATTACACGGCATATAACTGCTTTCCCGTTCTTTAAATATCCGTCTTGATTTAATCTCTAGTAAAATCAGAGTATATAGGCATCTTTCTCCTCCACTGTTGACCACACAAAGCACTCGAGGCACAGCCGCACTCTTGAGTTTCGACAGGTTGCACCGACTCGCAGGAACAACAGAAACGGCTTCACAGAGTCTCCACATTCATGCAGCGATCAGAAAAACCAACATAGTGGCCACTGGAAAAGTGCAGAAGCTAAACTCGTGAGTGGCTCGGCCCGAAAAAAGACGAGAGAACACGTACAACAAAAGGAAACCATTTTTTTTTTTTTTTACACCAAAACAGAGACCTGTATTTCAGTATTGCAGTGGACGTTTCCAGAGTTAAGTGTAAACCAGGCGTTTGCAACAACAACAACACAAAACAGAACAAGAACCAAAACAAACACCGAGATGACAGTTTGTAAAGCCTGTCTTCTGCTTTAAATGCGAACACGCACCCCGACACACACTCCAGTTTACCCCTTTAACATCTCCCACGACACCAAATAAAATAGCTTTACTTTTGTCTTCTCAACCCCAAGCGAAGGTGTCGCTTTAGAGACGCTAAAGTTCAAAAAATAAATATCCACAGTTAGTTCTGTCTTCTGCAACGTAACTCCACTGCATTGTGTTGCTGTTTGTTTTTTTTTTTTTAAACTTCTCATGTGCAAGTTCTATGCAATATCAGCACGCTCACCCTGACTTGTCGAACATCCGAAACAAGAACAATTTCAGCTGAAATCGGCTCACATTCATTTTAGTCACAAGATGGAATCAAAGGTTAAGAACTCAATCTCCCAGCAGGCCACTGGCGGGGCCGTGCGGTCTGAACATTCATCTAAAAGGCGAAAAATAAACACTTTTCTAACACTTTCTCGCTACGAAGGGAGCAGAAACACTCAACTTGCACTTCAAGTATTTGCGGCCCAGAGCGTCTTATCAAGAAAACAAAACAAAAAAAACAAAAAACAAAACAGGAGCTTCATGTCGAAGGACAATCCCACGTTTGAGCGTCTCGGCTTTTTGAAAAAAATGACGACAAAAACGCCGTTTGCCGCTTGTGCAAAACCGGGAACAAAAACTTTACATGCTTCTTTAGAGTGCAGACCGAGTGCAGCACATGCCCATCTCGAAAGTGCAATGTTTTCACACATTTCAAGTTAAAAAAGAAAAAGACACCGACATCCAGCAAAAATCTAGGCCCCTGACCAGTTAGGACGACAAAGGAAGAGAGTTTGAGCGATTTGTACAGAGTCACACTTTGGTGTTCTACACGTGCAAGTTGCTGCTGTAGCATGCAAATCTCCACAACCCTGGCGAAGCTGAGTGTCCATGCATTTAATTCAAAATACGGTATTGCCTTTGTGGTTACAGATTCAACTTAAGAAGCGCGTCAGGTTACCTGTCATTGTCCCAACAAGCACAGATGCCTCTCTGCTTGCCGAATTTACAGAACCTTGAGAAAGGATTTATACCAATTGTACTTTTGTTTACAATTTCAGGCCACAAAACACTCCAGCCAGAGTTAAAGGCATTGGTGTTTGAGGTTGTAAAGAGACAAAATGTGGAAAATGTTCAAATACTTTTACAAGGTGTCGTCTGTTATTGTACACTGTGCCTGAAAACACAGAAGAAAACTAATATGGTTTAACTGGTTGAATTATTGCTAGTTTCACTTCTTTATCTGCTTTTCATACCTGCAGCTTCGTAACAAGTGCATATTTTTTGGGGGCATCGCTCATACCACAGCAGGGCTGAGCCCTCTGGGAGGACAGAAACAAGAATCCATTCTTAGTTGAATCCAAATAACCAAAAAGCTTTTTCTCCATCCAAACACTGCTACAACTGCCAATATGCTCAGCCCAAAACCGGACCGGGAAGTCAAAAGTTGAACCTCCAAACCCATAAAAACATCCTTTTTCTTAACCAATCCTCTCCTCTCCCGCTTTCCAGGAGACATTAAAGCAAAGTGCCACAAGAGGAAAGAAAAGACTCTTTCCACTTTTTAAATTTGGCCCATTAACAAAGAACAATAAAAAAAAACTTGATCATAACCCTCACAGATTTATTTTTGCACTTCTCTGGTCTCCATCCTGCTGCTTCCTTCCCTAAACCTGCAAAAAATGATTTTAAATCAACTTTTTTTTCTTGCTGAACCCTGCAGCCCACTGTAAAAACTGACTCAACTCAGTTTGCTGTTGTGCTTACAGCAAAAAAAAAAAATAATAATAATAATACGTTTTTTTTTGTCTCTGCTTACTAAACCTGCAGCATGTAGCTTAGCTGTAATAAATCAAAACCTTCTGACTTATCAGTAGAACAATATTTGGGATTGTAATGCCCTGTAAACTGCATACCTGGCTTTTTCTTTTCTGGAATTATATCAAATAAACTTGTTTTTTTTTTCTTCCTCAGAGCAGATCATATGATATATCATATTTGTCATGCAAGAAACAGACAGACAAAAACTGCTGCAATGTGGACGAGAGCAAAAGCAAAACATCCGCAATCGACTTCAGGGCAGAGAGTGATAAATATTCCCCAGGTACCAGGCTTTGAGCTCAGAGGACCAGAAACGCCTCTTCCAAAAGTCTTCAGAGTCTTAAAGCTACTGTCGCAGAGCGCTGGAAAAGTCCCGCAAAGCTGAGTGCTTTGTTGTTTTGGTGAACGCAGTGGAGACAAATACATCCATCAGCTTCAGCGTAACGAAGCGAAAGTTCGATCAAGTTGACTCCAGGCTGAGGAAGAACAATTTTCAGCATTTTTTTTTGTAATGATTGCAGCATTAAGGACTAATGTTCATCAGCAGTGTTCAGAGCAAAGGTGTCCATCTGACCCCAGATGATGTGTTAGAGTTTGTATTAAAGTTTCCTCTCAGAAACCCCTGAGAGACACAAACAGCCTCGTCCTGGATGACTAGGATACACCTGCGTGTCGATCCAACTTCTGCTGAAGAAGAACTTGGACCGGTTGATGTGACGAGACGCGGGGGCCTTCACAGCAGATTGAATTATTTAGTGTCTCGAAAAGCAAAAACCCAGAGAAGGACCAAGCTAACATTTTAGTCTCATCCAGCGATTCACTTCCGATGGTCAATTGAGTTTATTTTGCAGGCCAATCACAGAGCAGACTCGTTCTCCATGTGACAGGAAGTGGTGGTGGTGGCCGCCTTTCCCTCCTTATTGAGCTTCAGGAAGGTAGGTTTCTCCGTCACCACGGTAACGGGGCCTTCGTTGCTGCTTGGGTTTTCCACCGTTGTCAAGGCCTGTTTCTCTGAAGATTTGGTGGAGTCCACCTCCCTAAAAAAACACAATGACAAACTGTTAGGATTGTGGGAAATTCTAATATTTAGTTCCTGGATTAAAGTTTAATAAAATTTGGTTGCTAGGTAGATTTAGGACATTATTCCATTCTAGCTCTTTCAATTTTCTATCTTTACCCCCAACAGTCTGGGGTCAAGTTTACAATCAAGGTTACAGATTGTTTTCTAATTTTATGTTGAAGATAAATTTCTTGTCCATCATCAACAAGAATGGGATACAAGTCACTTTTTAATGAATGGGTGAACTCTACCTAGGTCTTTGTTGTTCATTTAGCAAATAAATAAAAACAAAATCTCGCCTAACTTATTAATTTAGTTTAAAGTACCGCTCTTCAAGTGGACGTTGTCACCTGACCTGAGAGGGAAAAATGTTTTTCTCACCCATTGTTTGGTGTTGGGTAAATGACCAAGAAGCAGGCGGTGAAGAACCCAAGAAGAGAGCCCCCAGAGGCCACCATGGGAATGACGATCACACTGTCCACAGCTTCCACTACGGCGCCCAGAGCTGAGGCCACAAGGATCTGACTGATGTAAGCCTGCAGAAATCACATTCACATTCATTTTGACGTGTCATTTACAGCATTCTGCATGACTGCAGCATAATTCACACTCAAAAACGTAGAAAAATCCTATCTTAATTAGAGTGTATTTATTGAAAATGGAAAGAAAAGTATATTTAAGCAAAGAACACCAGTGCAACAATTCTTGGTGCACATAAATAAAAGTATCTAGAGTATTTTTAAATGTGTATTTTGCTCTTCTTTTAGATGGATCAATGGGTATAGAAAGTTTTATTGGTTGTCAATAACTTACTGTCTCCGTGGGCAAATATTACAGAGGTCCTTTTAATTCGTTTGTAAATTTTTTTTTTTAATTATTCCATCATCTTTTAAAGGCAATACGGCTTTGTAAAGTTTGGCAACAACTACTGAAACAAGGTTATTTGGTTGTTTAGTTTGAATTAATTGGTATTTTTCAAAGTAAGGTTTTGTTCTCACTTTGGAAGAACTTAATTACAGTGTTTAATGGAGAATAAATTAATTAGGGAACACCCACCTGGCAGGACAAGATGGCGCAGTCAATCCCAAACCCTCGGCGGGAGTTACCAGGACTGTGCTGGACGTACTGCAGGAAGCAAAGAAAGTCGGTCAGTATTTCTGAGTGGCAGCTGAGTTAAATGCACAACTGCCTCTCGAGCAAAACTATTCAGCTAAACAGGCAAAAATGCTTTACATTTTTTTAAAAGATAATAATGTTAATGTGATTCTAAATGAATTAAAAATGTCTGTTAAATCAGAGTATATTAAAAAAATATCCAAAACTAGATCCAAGCTAATTTGACATCTTAAAGTGATGAACAACCTCCTCTGCTCTTAGTAGAGAAAATACACATTCATACATCAAAACAGAAATAATTTTATATTCTTCATGAACAAATTAAAGTTTTTGAACCAGATAAAGCTGAAACTTTTGAAAAATAAAAAAAATAAAAATGTTAGCGTTAAAAGCTCCACACCTCTTTCATTTCGTGATATTGTCCCAGCAGCGCGTAGGGGCAGTAGGAAATGCTCATACAGATGAGGCCCATGGTGCTGATCATCACCATGGCAACATACACATTAGGGAAGATTGCCATTATAGCAGTTCCTGTTGAACGAGGACAGAAAATGTTTACTTTGAGCCGATTCTACCTCATTCTGCTCATCAGCCTCAGTTCCTCTTACCTATTGAGAATCCAAGCGTCCCCATGATGTAGATGACCTTGATGCTCAGGTCAAAGTTGTCCAGATACTTCTGAAGAACAGCTGGAAAGAAACAGGAGCAGGCTCAGCCATGTCGAGTGAAAACATACGTCAAATACTTCAAAAACATGCATGCAGCTACCTGAGCATATAGCAGAAGTCATGGCGTAAATGACCAGCCCCCAGCATCCCATCTGAACCCCTCTGTGGTAATTTTCTAATGAGGTTGAGTTAGCAGGAGCCTGAGAAGAAGCAGGAGGAACGGGGAGTTAAGTGATTTCACTGTGAAATTAAAGATGGTGTCATGGTTTTTGATTAACAGTAGTAAACATGAAAAAAACAGATATTACAATGATTTTATATTAGGAGTTTTCTTTTTAACCTGTTTTACATTTTATATTTTCAAGTCTGCATGCATATACACTTATTTATAGCTATTACTAATATTGCTTTTGTGTAGTGTGGTGCAGTATGTCCACTCAGTTAATCCTAAATATCTCCCCTGGAGAATAAAGACACTTCGACTTTGCCTACATTTTTTTCCTATCAGTTTGTTTACCCTGCTGGATATACAAGCACAAAATATTTTCCTACTTTTTTAGCATTTCCTTGCTTTTTTGGACCTGTTTGAATCAGCTCTTTTCAAAATAGATGCAATATCTGAACTATATTATGCTGCATTAAATACAAGCGACATGTTGGATCTTGAATTTGATTACAAAATAATAAACTTTTTCTTATGTACACAAACTCTTCTCAAATCTGAGGTTATTCTGACTGCTGTCGACTTCAGGCAAGATGCTTTCTATGAATATCTACTCCACCAAACCCCATTGTTTGTTGTGCTAGTTCCGTACAGTGGGGTTTCCTTCGTAGATGACTTGTCCCATGAAGTCTGTGAAGAACACCGCCTGAGCAATGATGGAGAACCAGGTGAGCAGGTGACAGACGCAGAGTCGCAGCAGCTCTGGAGGCATCTTAAGCATGGAGAGCCACAGCAGACGTACGGTGGTCTCAACCTGAGCAAACGCACAAAACATCTCCAGTAAGAGGCGCTCGGACGAGGAGCGAATCACCATCTGGACAAATACGGCCCTATTACAACTCGACGTCCTCACCTCGCCTTCCTCGCTCTCCGTGTCGCCGCTGGAGGAGTTCGTGTTCCCGCTGCGGTGTCTGCTGCGCCTCCTGTTCCGCCTCCGGTGTCGGGCCTCCACTTCGTACAGGTCGTTCATGCTGCGAGACGGCTTGATGAGGAGGGCGGCGTTGGCTCGGCGGAAGCGGTAACGGTGGCTCCCCACGCGGCCGTAGTATGAGAAGGTGCAGGACGGCTGGCGGTAGAAGGTGTGATGGCGGCGCGGCTGACGCATAGGAGCTCCGGTGCTGGCGGCTGGACAAAGAGGCAGTTTTATTGAGATCAAATCTAGCCTCTAAAAATAAGAAACATCATGTGTAATGTCTTACTAAATACAAAGGCACACAACATATTCAATTACTTGTAAAACAGTTTAAAAGCCATATGTTATTTTCCTAACACTTTCTAGCTATTCATTATGTTGTTATCACATCAAATCCCTGTGAAATACACTGCAGTTTGTGGTTGTACTCTGATAAAATGTGAAAAGGAAGACTCACTATGCTTCCTTGAGCACTCTAGGATATGTCTATGGGCAAAGCAAAACATGTTCGCTACATTTTTTGCACAAATTGATTCTTAGAAAATGAGATTTCAGCCTGCTCAGTTCTGTCTACCTTGAGCAGTTTTAGGGCTTCATGTCACAGTAAATCCAAATAAGCTGCTGCTGGCCACACCCCCAACTCAACGTTTACACTCGCAAGTGAAAATGGCTGCAAACACATGTGCATTTACACCACTGTTCATCTTTGAAAAGCAGAAGTTGAGCCTCCTGCACAACCAACAAGAATGTAGTAAGTGGTTTCTGAATAGTAGGTCAACAACAAAACACTTTTCTTTTCCAGCAGCCATTGTACAGCGAATGCAGCAGTAAAACCGGCTGACCAAAAGTGTTGGAGCTTCGCTTGGGTTGCTAGGTGAGGGGCTGGACTTCTATGGGGTTGCTAGGTAACGTGCTAATATGTGATGCTATATTCGGTAGGTGTTAGAAACGTCTCGTTTTCCAGACACAGAAAAAAAATTATTTATTACCAAAAAATGACTGGGTGGTTTTTGTTTTTTTAAGTGTTTGGGATGTTTTTAGAAACAGAAGAGACCAAATTATATGAAAACGTGCAAAATGTGAATTTTGCATAATACGTCTCCCATTGTGAATGCTTCTGGCAGGCGCTGCCTTGTGGAGGTTCTGACCTTTAACCATCCCGGCGCGGTGTGCTTGTCCTTTAGAGCTCAGCCTGTCTGAGCTCCCCATGTCTGCGTTTGTCACGCTGGCCAACAGTCGCCCGTTCAGAGTCCGCTGCTCGTTCAGCTGGTTGTTCAGCAGGGCCTCCTGCCCGTCGTCGTTCTCCATCTCCTGCAGGAAAGCCGACAGGCGGGAGATCCTGGGCGCCGGAGTGTGTGTGTGTTGACTGGCGTGGTGGGGGCGAAGCAAGTCTTCGCTGCCCGTGCTGCTGCTGCGCCTGATGCTGGCGAGCCGCGGACGGGAGCTGCTGTGGTCGGGGCTGAAGAAGGACGGGATCCTCGGTGGCGTCCCGTGGTAAGGAGAGAGGCGCTCGGCAAAGATGGATGGCTCCAGGTGGCACAGGAACAGAGCATCGTGGTCCAGATGGTCGAGGGTGGCGTCCGCCATGGCGAGAACGCTGTCGCTTTTACCTGGAAGGAAGACAAGAAGGAAGTGTGAGAAAAAAGAAGAGTTTTAGACGACGTGCCAATAAGGGGAGCCGTATCTTCTGGTCTGAACTTACTTCTGACCAGCTCTACTTCCAGGAAGTCCATGTCTCCTTGCTCTGAATGATCGTCGCCGTAATCGTAGAAGTCGTAGGTTTCTATCGTATCATCCTCGCCAATCATTTCCAGCTTGGGAGCAGGAAGTCCAGGCCTGCCATTGGCTGACGGCTGCAGGTGGTTGGACTTTGGACTCTCCTGAAATGAGATTAACTCTAAATATACGGCACAGAGTTTTTTAAATTCTCCCATTTCTTTACGTTTTCCTCCAAAGGAAACAGGTAGTTGATATTTTTTACTTTGCCTTTTCACAAATTATTGTGCAGTGTGTCATTAATAAAAACAAGGTGAGTAAACTCTAACTTGAATAAATAGAAAGAACTGGAGTGAACGGACAGAAAAGCCTGGAGATCTAAACCTTTTTAGAGACTGACGGATATCTGTTTCCTTGGAAGCGAACTATAAGGAAACTGACTCGACTCTTTTGCTCAGTTCTGTACCTGATCGAACCGGTCGCTTTGTGGCGAATATTGCTGTTCTTCAATGCTTAAGAGATGGAGAACCACCGAGATGGTGAACAGGATGGCAGTGAAAACGAACAAGATCTGCTCCTGGGACTTGAAGATCGCTCCGAGAAACGTGTGTGTCCAGTCCAAACCCCCAAGAGCGTAGCCGACTGCACCGCCGAGGCCTGGAAACATGGAGGTGTTACGAGATAAGCATCAGGTTTGTCTATATGCAACATCTGAAATGACAGGATTGGATCTTACCAGCAGAAGCGGCGTGGATGTTGAGCGCCATGTCTTGCTCCTCCGTATCCGCGACATCCAGCAGGTACGCCCTGATTGGTCCCTCTGTGGCGTCTGCACAGAAGTCCAGCACTACGACGCCCAGCACAGTGAGAACGATGCCCATTGGCTGCCTGCCCTCCTCGTCGCCAAGCGACAGACCTGACGGGGCAAAAGAAGGAAAACAGTGAAACGGTGATTAGAAACACACATCAGTAAAGAAAGAACAATGACATGTTGTCGACATTAGCAGCTAAGTGACCCAAGGACAAAATTTAAGATCTTTTTACTCATAACTAAATGTCAATGAATCTAACCCTTTCATGCGTAGCGGTCACTGCAGTGGACAGCTCTCTAAAAGCCATTTTCTTGTGGCTCTTTATGTTATAATACACACAGACCACTGAAGTGGACACTAGAGCATCATACAACACACTGCCAACTAGTGGCCATCCAATGCAAGTGCAAGAAAATCTTTCTCAAATCCAATATGGCAAAAAAGCAACTCAGGAATATCAAGTCCCTCCTTCTACTATAGACGACTCTTGTAGGTTAAAAAAAAATATTGTGACATCAAGTAACTCCTAAACACAAAAACTACTGATGTATTATGCCAATAAGAACCTTGTATTTGGAGAATATCACAACTGATCACCTAGAAAAAACCTTCACAAAATCTTTTACAGACATTTTTGTTACGCCTTAAGAAAATTAAAAACATTTTGGAAAAAAATCCCGACATAAAGGATCATAATTCATGAATTTTGAAAAATGAAAGTAAATAAATACACAATTGCATGTGGAAATGATTTAATAACTTAATTAAATGTTGACATCTCTACATAATTTCAATATGTAGTTTAATTACTTTGTTCCTGCGGAAAATAACAGTTTTCTGCATTTTAATTTTTAATGCCAAAGGGAAATTAGATATAAAATATATAATATAAACATATAAGATACATATTATTCAATAAATTAATGAGTAACTTATTGAAAAATCACAAAGACAGCTGCTGCATTCCCTGACATTTGAGCTTCTGTGGACATAAACCAGGTAATAATCACAGCTGCACATATGTGATCAATAACTTATTTGTGGCTTAACAGCTGCATGACCTAGCCTACTGCAGAAACGGGTCACATTTCCCATCCTGCTTTGCATGTTGTGGGTGACCTTGTCCGTTTTTCTCTCAAAATACCCACAGCAATGAGTTCGGGGGGCCCGAGGGAGGAGTAGTTGCATGAATATGTGTGAACAGTGCAGAGTCGGAAGTCTGTACTGTAAGGATGTGAGTGCAAGATACGAGAGGCGGCGTGACGCAGCATGACTTTTCAAACTGGGATCCGTTCGGGTCGAGGAAATGAAAGTGTTTGTAGATGGAGCAGCAGAGTGTGCTTCTATGTGTGCGTCTGGGTGAGACAATGGAGCCACAGTGCTCATTAGCCAGGCACCCAGACAGGAAGTGACCCGGGATTGGTGGGGAGAAGGAAGCAAACAGGAACCGTTTCCTTGTGAACCGCTGGCTCCGGTGTTCCCATGTCAACACACACACACACACACACACACACACACACACACACACACACACACACACACACACACACACACACACACACACACACACACACACACACACACACACACACGACCACAATCCTGGACAGGTTACTACGGGTTTTCCCACGTCACCTGCTGCTTTTCACACATTTATATTTATTTACAACCACATACACACATACTCTCCCTCTCTTTCGGTCATTTCTCACACAGGGTTACTGGTTTTTCCCATGCCAACTCTGCTGATACGGCTCTTTCACAATCAGACTCAGTTTCTTGCCCCCCTGTTCCTTGCTTTGACCTAAATGGCAACTTTCAGAAAAGAATAAAAGCAAGTAGATCTAAATGGATCTACTGGGTGGAAACATAAATAAATGTGTGGACACACAGACTTAAAGTTTCTGCACCAATAAGGTGAAGGACAAAAGGATAAAAAGGTTTTTAAGAGAAAACTAATTTCTATGAGAAACTGAGACATGTTTGAGCTTGATTTAAACTGCAAGTGAGAACAAGACTTTCAATAGATAACAGGAAGGCAAAAGGGAGCAATATGAAGAATTTGGAAATATTGGTGCTCTTCTGAAAATATCAGAATTAACTATTGTAAATGTTGTTACCATCTCTGCTTATGAAAAGATACAATAAAGAATTATTTGCTGCTATTTGGATAAAGTTACTATTTAATTAATTAACTTTTTACTTCAGTCACCACAAAAAGTACCCTTGATTTGGGCAATAAAACTTAATTTTAGGACTCTGGAAAACATTAAACTTTTTTCTATTGATCATTAGAATATCTAATGAATGCTTCACAACCATTGCTGATAAATCGTATTATAATAAAATGTGCAAAAAGTAAGTTTAAAAATGCCAGTCTAATAATAACAATTGCCATGTTTAATTACTATTATTATTATATGTTTAGATTTTTACCCATTTCTCTGATTTTTCATCAAAATAAATTAAAAAAACAATTCAGAACAAAAACCTGCAAA